GGTCTGCACAAGACATCTGACGGGCATGTTCGAGTTCACGACTCGTTTCCGAACCACCGAGATGGCATTCTCGATCTTGTTGGCTTACCTCATAGCTCAACCAGAGAGCAATTGTCGGAGAAGCTGTCGGAGTGGGCCAGTATTGATGTTGAAACTGCTGCAACAGTCGATGGCAAGCTAGCGACGTATGCCCTAAGATCGTATCGACAATGGGATGCCCTTCCTCAGTCTAGTGCCATCAGCAATTTCCCCATCGACGTCACTCAACTATCTCCCGAAGGACCCGCCGGCTTACCTGCAAGAATGAGAAGCGGCAACACGAAATGTCTTCAAGGCCTCCGGGTAGTCGAGATGAGTCGCGTCATTGCCGCTCCCCTATGTGGAAAGACGCTCGCGGCCCATGGCGCGGACGTCATCTGGGTCACCTCACCAAACCTGCCTGATCTTCCGACCATGGATCGAGACTTTGGCCGTGGCAAGCGGACCGTTCAACTCGATGTCCACAACCCCCCTGACAAGGAGAGATTGATCGAGCTGATCAAGACAGCGGACGTCTTCATTCAGGGGTTCCGTCCTGGCAGTCTTGCCAGCCACGGCTTGTCACCTGAGGAGATAGTCAAGATGAACCCCTCCATCATCATCGCCAACATGTCGGCATTTGGGCCACAAGGACCTTGGTCCGGTAGGAGAGGTTATGATTCGCTTGTGCAGACCTGCTCGGGGATGAACGTCTCTGAGGCAGAGCACGCTGGAAAGGGGGAGCCAGCCCGTCCAACGCCGTGCCAGGCGCTTGACCACACCGGCGGATACTGGCTCGAGACTGGTGTCATTGCTGCTCTGTACAAGCGAGCAACACAGGGGGGCTCTTGGCGTGTAGACGTCTCTCTGGCAGGTGTAATGAAATACTTGCGGAGCTTAGGACAATATCCTGGCGCGACAGGCTTCGAGGTCAAGGACTACGAAAAGCCAGAGGATGTTCGGAATGAGCTTTTCGAGACGAGGGAGACGGGCTTCGGCTCCATGACGGCCATCAGACACAGCGCACGTGTTGATGGGGTCGAAGTCGGCTGGGACGTGATGCCGAAGCCTTTGGGTTCTGATTCCCCTGAATGGATTCATTAAAGTTCACTTCAATGTCTGGAAAATGCGACAAATTTACCGAAATCTAGTTTTGGATTAGATCCCACTTCCATATAGAATCATTCGAGAAGCTGTGTTGTACAACAGAGTTAGAAGAAAGCGGGAGTATGATCTTCGTGTGGTGAGTCAGAACATTGACCCAACACGACCAACAAAGGGGAGAGAACTTTGATATCAGTCGCGTGTCTCAACTTAGCGGTATTGAAGCTTATGGCAGTTGAAACTGACTTGAAGCCGCGAGGACTGAAATCTCCTTGTACTAAGATTCTACTGGAACAACTGGACCATGCCCTTGTCGCCCCTAGCGGAATAGGGTCCTGGCTGAGAGGAGAGAGGACGCAAGGAGTTGTATTTTGGAACCAGAACTTTCTTTTCAACGACCGTTACTACTAATCCACGATAATTCGAAACCCAAATCCCTGCTCATCTCTCGGAAGAGTCTGCCAAAGAATCAGGAAATAAGCCAATGGGTATTGATCACGGTTAACCTGACACTTGATGATGCGCTCCTACACTCAATATTTTAGATTTGGGCTAAGTCTTATGAATTACATGTCACTTGCTACCTTCGGCGCCTATGTTCCTAATTCGAACATCAAGCTACCGGAATCTCCCCCGTATTCGGTCCCAAGCGTGCTTCCTTGTCCCCTTTCTCCAGTCCCCGCCAACCCATCTGCTTCGTTTTGACAACTAAGCTTCTCCGCGCCTTCGTTTTAGGACCCTAAGCTTAATCGGCAAAGCGGCAAACACATTCCTATTGTGTTATTGTGGACCTTTCTTTCCGCAAAGATGCAACGGAGATCTGGGCGCGCGGAAATGCTTCAATGAGCAAGTTTACGTGGCCGCCGCGGCACCGACCATCCGCGCGGAAACGCCCACGAATCAGCATCATCGCCGACGGAGCTGCGGGATGAGACGTTGCGGCTGCACTATGTCAGCCACGAGTCGACACGAACCCGAGCCCTTGGATGCGGCGGCGGCGATACCGAGCGAGTGGTGACTGATTCGCGCGGGCCACGTACATCTCCCGCTGCGGGGTCCAGCACAGATTCAATGCGTGGATGCTAAGCTTTTGCCAGTTGAGACTGTTGACGCCTGCCATTTTTCATAACGGCGTCTTCATTATCACAGATGGAGGTGACAAGATGCCGAGGACTTGGCCGAAGAGAGTGGGGATGAACGATCGCCGGCGTACCTATACCTCGACAAGGAACTCAGGAGATCATACATGATACATACATCGTACGGCGATCCCCCGGAGACTATTCTCGTCGGATAAATGCCACCTGAAAAGTGATACCCGGAGGACCCTGAGATCAACATCTTGAGAGTTGGTGAGTTCAGGTTTTCCATGGTTTTCCGAACCATTTCTACTAACAGAGTTTGGTTGTCGGGTTTCTACTATTATTTTTGAGACTTGATATTGCTCTTGTTCAAATAGGCCGGGCGGCGCAATAGGGCGTTGCCAAAACCTCCTCAACGCGTGTCGACGCCCGTCTGCCTACGGCCGTCCTCGTCCGATTCCTTCGGTTGTAGCGTTTAACTCAAGCTTTCCAGTTTCTGTCGCGCGGCGGGCCCAAGAAGATAGGAACTCACATGGCAGTCCCTGGTTTGAACGGCACGGTGAGGCGCTTGCCCCATTAGTTCGGATTCCTCGCAACCCAGTCTTCGCTATTGCATGTCCTACACGATTTTTACCAGCCAGATCTCAACCCGGGGCAGCCATACTTGCCCGTGCCGCTCCGACGGAGCTCCGATATCTCCTTGAGATATTGCCGGCGAGGGCGGCTGTCCCACCCATTTCGTCTGAAGATTCGTGCCGTTCGTAAGCAATGGTGATCCTCTCGTCCTGGCCAACCTCCGGTAACCTCCGTACGCCTTAGAACAACAAAACCTAATAGATCTGCTCAACAGCCACATGGGCTCACTTGGTCAGGTGCTCACGTCTAATTACTCGTGGCAGTCACGATACTGGTGGCGCAGAAAGGTGTGGTATAGCATGAGCAGTCGGAGACACCGCTTTTTACTTTCTGACTACTTCGTCGCCTATTGACTTTGCTCTAGAGCGGAATGAGTGTCCGTCTGATGCTCGTAAGCTTCTGCAGGTTGAGAGCATCTGTTCAATGTGCCCCTCGTTTATACTATAATTCTGATTTAAGCTTGTTCATATACCTTTAATAATGTTCGGACTTCAGACCAGGAACCGCAACTTTACCCCGAAGGAATGTTCTTGCTAATGCGATTCGCAAGACATCAATTCTATGTCGAGCAGGGAGACGACAATCGAAGTTGTTCGTAAAGCGTCTGCACGGAACATCTCACCGGCCATCAGTATCGTGTGTCGATGAAGAAAGAAGCTTTTCCGAAACACGTAACGCACTGCCGCTGTCAGCCTGGTAGAATCACACAGACCGCACTGGACACTTGCGGGTATCTCAGGCCAGCTCCTGCGCCGGACATGAGCACATTCTTCCTACAAGTAAATCTTTCCAACGAACATCAACCAGTTATCTGCCGCGTGTAGCAAGCCTCCAGTGCGCCGAAAATACCAGCAGAGTTCCCTGACTCCAGGGTCCATGCCGAGAGACAACTTTAGTAGGGCGCACGGAGTAGTGGCGGCGACCGAGACCGAAGCGGCCGCTCATGTCACAGTCCCAGTCTTCGTTGACAGGGTACGCTGCCCACGAATCAGGCACGATGCCGACTGGACCAAGACGTTGGGTCAGGTGCCAGGGATGGGGTCTCTTATGCCCTGGAGCTGTCATTGATGAACGACGTTCGACGTGGACAGAGCTACTTCGGACTGAAGAGGGGTAAAACGTACTCACTTACGCGGCTATCAAGACGCATCTGGAACGCCGTCGGCTTCCTGGAACGGCATGTAAGTCGCTCATCTTTGAGCCGATTTCCCGTAATTTCCGCTTACAATCGAAACTGCAACCAAATGTGCTGATGATTCATCAATAATTACTTGCTTGTAACCATCGGTGCTTTTAGAGGCCAGATTGTGAGCTGGCTCTGGTCCGGGCAAGTCATCGGAAGGCATAGTTGAACCAACGCAGACATTGGCCTTCTATGCATCATAGTATTAGTTACAACACATGAAGCTGTGATACAGGAGTTAAGTATGCCTTACTCGGAAGTTGAGATGAGTGACTAGCAAGCTAGATTATTCGCTGTGAGAGTATAGAGTGAGGCGTACTAGGCGCTAGAACGTCCTACTTTCCCCCACGTTGGTCCAAAATAAGCATAATACCAAACGCGCTACTATTGCAAACAGAACAAGTTTACTCTGCTGCCGAGGGGACTTCGGCCGACACTGAAAGCTTATTCGGCAAAGTGGCCGACCCTTAGTCAGGGAGCTCCTGGTCCAACGTCCCATCTAGGCCTTACTCGGACCCTGCCCCCTACGGATCGACGATGCATGAACGTTGCCCTGCTCTGCCAGATCTGTGGTCTTCCAACTCGGACTCGGTGATGGCCTTCTGACTTTGGCTTCGTTGGTACGGGGTTGGAAGAAACAGGCCGTCCCAAAGCATAGCGGGCGCCTTTCCTGTTCCTGTCGAAATGGAGGAAAATAGCCGGCTGCATGATGCAGCGAGAAAACTTGCGCAAGACATCGCGGGAAGCGGCATTAGGCTGGTCGACTAAGGCAAATCGACACCTTCTTTTGTGTATAAAGACGTCCATTCTCTCGCCCTAACCAGTGGAATCTTTTTCTTGCTCATCAGCTCACTTCTTCTATCGACTTACATTATCAATCTTATTCACTATCTTGAGTAATAGCTTCTTAGCTACCACACTACTACATCCAACTACATACTCTATTGTCTCTTACATAAACAACAACAACCGCCAACATGCGCTTCTTCACTACCGTCGTCCTCGCTACCATCGCTGCCAGCGTCAGCGCTCTCCCCGTTGCCCACGAGTCAGACATCACTCCCGCGCTTCCCCAGGGCATCGAGGAGGCTGCTATCGAGCCCATTGAGGCCAGAGCCAACGGCAAGCCGAACAACCCCGCGGATGTCAAGAAGCACGACGACAACCACGAGAGACAGCGTGAGGGCAAGTGCGGCACGGGCTGCAAGAATTCCCTCGCCTCGTACCACTCTCAGGCATCCAAGGACTCGAAGAACTCAAAGGCCTCCCAGGCTTCAAAGAACTCCCAGAAGTCCAAGGGTGGCCGTGACCTCAGCGCCGTCGAGGCGACTGAGGCGGAAGAGATGGAGTAGTAAAGATGGTTCGTGGTTACAAGAATGTCAGGAGTTACATGGAGTACTAGATCGGAGAATAGCGCCGGGATATATAAGTCTTCTGGGTAGTAGCTGTGCTATGTAAGACAATGAACGAAACATTTTCCAATTGAATGAAAGTTCTCTCTTGAACAGTCTAGAGGAAGTTGGCAGCAGTTGTATATCTCATCAGTCCGTAACACGTTACGAGATGAGGAGATATAGCATGTAAGTTTGAAGTTGTTCTAGTCTCCGCGGTCTTCTTGAACGTATCAATTTGCTGCTCGTACTCTCAAGCCTTCGCTAATGATAAGAAACAGGCATACATTAAATCAACAAAAATACTTCAGTCCATGTTTCCATATCTATGTAATTCCAGTCTAATTCAATATCATGAACATAAAATAGCCCCAGACTTAAAAGAAGAGTTTGACTAATACCTCTTTAATCAGAGCTCATTACCCATAGAGTATGTGTACTAGACTACGCTAATTCCAAAAGGCGCTTTGATACGAGACTGCTTATGAACGATTACATAGGGCGTTGATCACCGTGAAGGGAGGAGGTCTATGGAAGGGCGCCGGACTCAACGAAGCTTCGAAGTAGGTGATGCCGGTTGCGTTGTTTCATACGACCCAAAAAGAATGCAAACCAGGCTCGCTGATGCCAAAAACATACAACACCGGGCATTCGCCAGTCGTCACCGACCTGACTACTACTCCGGCCCTCATTAGCTTATCTATGGGAGAGCGGACGGGATCCCGAGTTTTCCAATGGGTATGGTCGTATGTGCTGTGAAGTCATCGTGAGATTGCTTATGTGCCGAGCCATTGTGGTGGTGAAGTCGATGTCTAGGCAGCTGAGCGTTGCATATGACGTTGCGAGTATACTCTTTCATTTCATTCAGACTTTGATTTGTAATCGTGTCTTCTCATATACATCCCAGAAATTTGGGCTTGAGTTGAGATTCAAGAAAAACTTGTGTGTTGTTCTCATCTGATGTGTAAGAGGCATTGCGTTTGAGGCTTCAAGTGAGCCTCCATGTCAAGGTCGCCGGAAATGCCGAGACAGCACCTTCCCGTCTTGAGCTGGTCTTTCAATTTTTTTTTTAATTTTTTTTTTAAAAGCCAGTGCCTGAATCGAACTCATGTGCACAAATTTCTGAAGATTTGATAGTTCCACATAGTGTTTTGATATATTCTAATGGGAGCCGCTATGTGTTGGTGAAGAAGAGTTGACGTGATAGGAGGGATGCACGCTGAGGTAAGATCGCCAGGGGTGTACCCCGCCAAAGCAACCCCACCACAGCGCATCCCCTTGACCTTCCAAGGCACCAGCCTGCGCACCTTGACGTAGCCAGCCAAGCAGAGTTGAACAGCCGGGATTCCGTGTAAACAACAAAAAAGCAGGAATCAATCAGCCAAGCAACGCGCGCAAGGCAGACAGGTAAGCCGCCCTCAATTCTGTACAAAAGTCTCAGCCTTTCGAAGAACCGTTGCAACCATCCCCCATCTACCCTTTCCCACCTCAACTCCGGACATCACCTTACCCAGGAAACTCAACTGAACCAACTCCAAGGAAAAAACAAGGCACCCCACCACCCACTTACTCATTCTCCGACTACAACCACAACTCCCGACACAATGGCCCCCCCTTCCCAGCTCACCGTCGCGACTCTGTCCGTCACCCGTCTCCTTAAGGAGGAGATCTCCTACGAGAAGGAGCTTATCCAGCAGAAAGCTAAGGTCGCGACGCTGGAGGCCGAGATCAAGGAGGGCAAGCCTGATGAGGACGGCAACCGGGAGTACATGCTCAAGCAGCTGGTTCGTTCGCCAACTGTCCCACATGTCCCAAGTGCTCTTACTGACGTCCGCACAGAAGCTGGCTGTGGAGGAGACGGAGAAGGTCTTCCCTGCGCTGCGCACGCGCGTCGAGGACGCGACCGTCAAGTTGGAGGAGCAAATTGCCCTGGCTGAGAGCGGCGGCGCCACTGAGGACGAGCTGGCCACGGCTAAGCTGGCCCTGTCGAAGGGCAAGGAGGAGAAGACATACACTGTCGACGTTCCCACGGCCTCGGCGTAAGGCAGTTGGCCTCATGATTTGTGTGTATTAATGAATCCGGCTGGGGACCGCGTTGTGATCAAGAGCAGGCAGGCGTCATGAAATCCGCAGCTCGCGTTAATGGGTATCTCAATTGAGAAGAATCATTCCTCAAAGCTAAACTATGCCGTGCCGTCTTTTTGTCTAATTGTCAACTTCCATGCTGTCCGGTGCATCCACTGTAATCTGGGGTGTGTCGCCTCCAGAAGTAACTTGGGTGTCTTGCCGGTCGTCCATCTCAACATCCTCTCCCTCCTCGATCTCGTCATCGTCAGGCTGGGGACGAGGCGTGCCGCCTTGGCTTGGTACGGCGCTTCCAGACCGCGAGAAGCTTCCCAAACCACCAGGTCGCGGCTTCAAACCCTCTGACTGATCCTCCGACTGGCCGTCTTGACCCGGTGTCGCTCTTGATATGGCGCCACTGTCGGGGTGCGGCGTGACGTTTCCACTAGAGACGTGTCGCGGTGTCTGTCCTCCTCTGGAAGCCTCGCCGTCCTCCTCGTCCTCGTTCATGCCCTCGCGTCTCTCGACTTCCTCCTTCTCGTCACGAATCTGCCGGCGCAGCAACATGCCCTCGTCCATGATCTTGCTGAACTGCTCCTTCCGCTCGCGCCACGTCACACCGTATGTCTCGCTCTCGCGCTCCAGGTCCTTGATTTCCTCCTCCAGCTTCTTCAGGTTGGCTTCCTGTTCGACGCGTGGCCGCAGGCCCTTGGCCATCAGCGCGTTGGCCAGCTTGTCATACTCCTTACGTTGAGCAAGCGTGGCCTTCGCGCCGTCCAGCTGCTCGCGCAGCTTCGTGTTGTTCTCGCGTACGCTCTGCGACTCTGCGAGGATGCGCTTCTGGTCGGCCTCGTAGCGTGCGCGCTCGCGGACGTTGGCGTCGAGGAGGAACTGCAGGCGGGCGATGCTGCTTTCGAAGGCGGCGAAGTCGAGGGTCAGGTCTTCTTTGATCTGGTTGATCTCGCGGGTCTTGCTGGCGGCGGGTTCCGCTTTCATTTCGGTGTCGGCGTCCTTCTCGCCATTTGCGCCCTCGGGAGGCGGAGTGGGCTGTTGTTTTGTCTGTGCATTTGCGATGGCGGAGATCGAGGCGAGTCTCTTCGTGATGCGCTTGAAGGGCTTCTCCTCGATATTAACCAGACGCGTCTTGTGGAGTTCCGCCTCCTCCTTGTCGTCCAAAAGATCCCAAGATGACATTTTTTCGGGTTTGGCCTGATGTCGTGCGAAGTGGAATACTCGGCTCGGATCGCGAAAGCTGGAAGTAGTTGTTTTGAAGATGTTTGGCTTTGGATGAAAACAGTAGGAGCCTGCTGAGAATGATACAGGCAGTTTTCAATTTCCAGCATATGACGTGTCTTGAAGGTGTTCCTGAATCCAAGCAGAAAGATCCGTTTGAGGTATGGCTGCAAGCAGGCGAGCGACAATTCACTAAATTCCAAAGGCAAAGGTGCAATTAGAGTGCAGCTCTTCACGTTCTTTCCTCAGCCTTGCAGTAGCTTCTTTCCACAGTTGGGATTGGCCATCGGGCCGGAAAGACCCACTTTGTGTTTCTCCACTAGCCCCCCCAGATCGAGGGCAAAGTCAAAGCGTCTCCTTCCCACCACAGTGATCACATCCGAATCTACCAACAACATCGTTAGGTTTCTCGTCGCAACTACTCCAAGACTGTCGCATTTTATAGCGCTCTCGATACGAAGTTACCACGACAAATCTACTAACCGAGAAAATGACTTCGTCTGAGGAGCAGCAGTTGCTGGCGCGCATCAGCCAGCTTGCCGGTACGAGAACTTTGCAAACAAAACTGGGAAAGCGCTCAATCTGATATGGTGGCAATAGGCAAGATCAACCTTCACAAGGCACAGCAAGCTGGCGTTCAGTCCATTCCCAGTTCCCAGGCATCATACCATCGACGTACGTCCCACCATGCGTCCAGCGGCATCGCGCCACACTCACACGACCCAGACAACCCCCATCGACAAGCCGGCCATCCCCACAGGCATTCCCCGTACCCCTCCTCTCGAGGACCTTCGGGTTTCCGCAACAGATCTCTTGTGGTCAACAACAGTGGAACGCAAACACCGCCTTCCGACTCGCCTACTCCCGAGGCATCTGGCTCGACCGCTTCTTCGGGCTCTTGGATTTCGAAGAACACACCCGGCCAGATGTCGCTAATCAATTCAGCGGTCTACGATAAGACCAACGAAGCCACCGCCAAGGCCATCGAGGCCACTCGACAAAAGAAGCTGCTTCAACGGGAAGCGCGCGAGAAATCCCAGCTCGCCAACCATTTCCAGCGATACGGCGGGCACGCGAGTGCTCCGACAACCCCTACTAACACGACAGCTGTAGGAAACCACGAGATCGAGATTCAGGGATTGCGGTATCGCGTCGCCAACAACGGTAGCAAGCTCGTGAAGGTGTCCGGTCAGTCGCCAACGCCATTTGCCCCTTGGGCACTCGTTGATTATTACACAGGAGACCTTCACCCCGTCAGTGCGACTCCTAAGGTCACATACGTTGGAGGCGTCAAATTCCACCGAAGCAAGAGAGGCAATCTATACCGCGCTGGCGTGCTCAGAGCGCATCGGTATGTCCTCCATCCCACTGTTATGCAGACGCTAATCCCACTTAACACCGCAGCCACCATGGCGTTAAGAAGGTCGACGTGCCTTGCAGCATGTTTTCGCTGACTGGTATTTCATTCACATTCTCACCCGACAACTCGTCATTCATCCGGACAAACTTGGGATCATGTCGCTCAAGTGGGTATGATAGGTACTGGACAACACTAACCCCACAACTTCTATCTAGGTTCATGCGCGAAAGGCCCTGCTTGCCGATACCAACACAACGCGTCGAAAGTTGCCGTCTGCCGGGAGTTGCTTCACAAGGGAACCTGCGCTCATGAGGAGTCTTGTGATCTTTCCCATGACTTGACCCCTCAGCGCACCCCTACATGTGTTCACTTCATCAAGGGCAACTGTGCGAACCCCAACTGCCCGTATGCTCACTCTAGTGTATCTCCAGGTGCTCTGGTCTGCCGCTCATTCGGCATGTATGGCTACTGCGACAAGGGGGATAACTGCGAAGAGCGACACGTTTTCGAGTGCCCCGACTTTAGCAACACGGGCAAGTGTAAAACCAAGGGCTGTAAGCTACTTCACCGCGAGAGGGCAAGCGTCCTTCGGAAGCGCACAGACGACAACGAGATGGAGGATCTGTCGAGCGACGAAGAATCGGCCGACAGCGACGATGTGGACTCGGACGAGGTCGAGGAGTTTATCAACGATCCTGTTGGTGACGACTCTGACTTTAGGGTTCAAAAGGACTTTATCGCTTTCTGATCGTGACCTTGTGCCACTTGGTGAGAGCGGCCGCCATTGGTCCGCCTTCTTTACTGACATGCTTGCTATCTACTCCTGAGGGAGTCTAATCTTGGGGGAAACGGGAAGTTTACCCTTTGAGGAAGCGTGCCTCCTTGAGGGAGGCAACTGGGAAAAGAATAGCGAACAAACGATACCCAAGAAGAGCGAAAGAATTGATACCTGGCACACAAAGAACAACATACATAGAAAGGATAGAGATAATCCAAGAAAGAATTGTGGAACTTGATGAGCTCGAATCTTGGCGTGAAAGACGATCAATGATCAACAATCCCTTAATCATGGAAGAGAGGTCGGATGAGATGATAGGGCATGAGACTCCATTGATTGAAATCAAAGGTTACAATGACCTACCTAGTGCTGGAGGCTCAAAGCCAAGGATTGCAACCTCGCTTGGGCCTCGGACGGGCATCATTTCCGTGTGCGGGCCGTCCCCAGCTGGCTTCGGATGTCTCAATTAAATCAATTAAAATTTCCATTAAAATTTACCCCGCCATCCTCTCGTACCCTGTGGGCTCCTGAAAACAACGCCATTCGATGACATTTCGTGCGCTGACACACTGGAAACTCTCCAACAAGTCCCCCCTCGGTCCTCTCCTCCACTCGCGGCCCCCATTCTACCCAGCGGCGCTCCGAGTCCAGCGCCACCTGCCGCGTTCAGTGGTTCCTGAGCCTTTGTTCCTTCCGAGACTGCTACGTTCTCTAGACGCTGACGAGGCGCTAATGGAAGGGGGCGATGGGGGGAGTAGGGCCCCGTCAGGCCGATGGCTTAGGTATATCGTAAGGTAGGCGGTTGTTTGGTCGCGCAGAAAGCGCCCTGTTCAGTCTGGTCGCCTTTGAGCTGCACCGCCTTGAAGCTCAGCCCCTCGTCGCTGCACCACCTACGTCCTGCCTGAAGCTGAGAATAGCACCAAATGTGACGACATTGCGCTCCCACATAAGCAGCTGCTCGTGGCCTCTTGATCCTTCAGCCTTGAGCTCGGTATATCTGATTTCTGCATTCTGTGCCTTCTATTCTCTACTCTTTCCGTTCCGAGACGTGACCCGGACTGCATCCATAGCAGTATACTAATCTTAGGCACCATCATCATCATCATGGGTATACGCGACATCCTCAAGAAAAAAGACAACCTCGACAATGGCGAGCCCAGCAGCCAGGACGCCATGGACAGGCTAGCAGCCCCCGAGTTCAAGTTCATCCGGTCAGACACACACTCGCAAGAGGTCATCCACCCGCCAACCGTGTCTGTGGAAAACGACCAGTACCTGAATCCCAAAGACGGCGGCGGCGGCCAGAAGCCGCGACGCAGCCTCGACGTCTTGTTCGGCAACCGCTCCCGCAGCCCTTCCGTGTCCTCCCAGGCGAGCTCGAACGGCAACCCGAAAGGGTCCAGACGGCTGTCGGAACGGCTGCACCTCAGCCGCTCGCCCGCCTCCTCCGATAACGTCCCGCAGAACCTGCCCGACATCGTAACCACGGCCGAGGGCGACGAGGCGGCCTGGGAGAAACGCGCGACGATCCTGGCGTCGTCGAACAAGAGCAGACCGGCGACGCCGTCGCATGATAATGGGCAGGGGGTTGGCGGGGCGAACGACAGCTCGAATGGCGCTGCCGTGTCGTCGCCGGCCATTGATGAGGATATCCAGGAGGCCATCAGGCTGCATGAGGCAGGGGATTACGAGAACTCGACGGCCATGTTCGCCCGCCTGGCTGATCCAAAAGGGGCGAACAATACCCTCAGTCAGTTCCTGTACGGGCTTGCTTTGAGGTAAGTCTAGACGTCCAGACTGGTCTCGACCCCGCTGCGGCAGGCTTGCCGTCGCCTCCCCGTGCCTAAGGGGCGGTCCCATGCCGGCTCGTCGGCCGATCACACTGCATCGGGGAGTTTATAGGGGGTCGACGGGTGCCACGATGCTTGGGGTGGTGGACGGATCGAGTGACGTGATTGCTGACTCGGGAATGTTGATAGGCACGGCTGGGGATGCGAGCCCAATCCAGAGGGGGCGATCAAGTATCTGTCGGCGGCAGCATCGAACGCGGCAGCCGTTGAGCAAATGGCGTTGAAGGCTGGGCTCAAGAAGGGTGGCGCTGCCAAGGGAGAGCTCGTTCTGGCCATCTTCGAACTGGCGAACTCGTTCAGACACGGTTGGGGCACGAAAACGGACCCAATCGCGGCCAAGCAGGTTGGTTTCCCCGTCCGAATAGGGGCTCGGGGCGGGAGGAAGAAGACCTGCAGAGTCGCCATCATGACCGAAGGGGCGAGGGCTGACATCCAATTGCAGTACTACGAGACCGCAGCGAACCTTGGAGATACTGGTGAGTATGCCCTCATGATG